GGAGACTTACCTGTGATAATAACTCTTCCTTTTCTCCTGCTAGCTTTCGTAGCCTAACATCTAGAACAAACAAATAGTTTAATTTCCCAAATTGGCTTTTGAAGAATACTTGAATTCCATCTGAAGAATTTGAGGAGGGTGACTTGGGAAAACTGAATTACAGCAAGATCACTTTAAAAATTGTAATTTTTGTAATATAGGGCCAACATAAGCATTTAGGTTCATTAACTCTTATATAGTAATCCTCACTTACCAACTGCCCTGTTCAGGGATTATTCAAAGTCACAACTGTGCAGAAATAACTTTACAACCAATGCCTGCATTTATAACCTTTGCAGTATCTGTCAGTCATCTGATCACAATTACAGTCAGTATACATTGTATCTATTGTTTTTCTCTCTCCCCCTTTGCACAGTGGAGAGGTTGGAGAGAACGGATTACAAGAGAGTAAGCAGGCAAACAATGGGGAATATAGTCAAAAGAATATGCTTATTTCAGTAGGTGTGAGGACACTACACAAACAGTCCAGTATTCCTTAGCATGCTCCTGCTTACTTTTTTGTAATCTGGTCCTCTCCTATGAATATAAATATTAATTGCCTTCTGGTTAATTATCCCAGCACCAAGATGAATATTCCAAAGAGGAAGCATGTGATTAGGAGACAAACAAAAGTTTAAGATATGAAACTGATTAGTCTTGTCAGCTTCCAACCAGCTATTTCAATGCAGCATACTTGGAATACTTTCTATAGGAAGTATTCTGATACACAGCAACTTAAATTTAAATATTTAAAAACAGAAATTTATTACATGTCTACAGACATTTTGTAAGCCTGAAAAGATTTATGAGGTCTGGAACCAATTACACAGAACTAAAGGGCTAATCTGTCTAAAAGTACAATTCTTTTGGTATACTTTTTAAATTTATATCCATTGAAGCCACAATATAATGTTAATCTTTTAAGAAAATGCTTATTTTACCTAGTGGTCCTTCCCCTGCTGATTCCAAAACTTGAGCAGCTTCTTGTGATACAACTGTAATTGTACCAATTACTGGTTCATGGTTAATATCACCATTTGGAGTGACTTCTGGGATTATTACTAATCCATGTTTCTGGGGGGGTGGGAAAGCAACATTAACAATATCTATCAGAAAATTTTATTTTACAGATAAACTCTTTACTTAACTGACATAATCAAAAATACAACATCATTGCTTCCATACATGAGTTTGTAGAAAGGAGAAAACGATGTGGTAATGATGGTGTACTTTCCATTACATTATCTATGCTCTGATTCCCCAATCTACATTTGTAAGAAGTACTACTGCTAACATACCTCTCCTCTCTTCATTGTTTCCTTCATATCAGCCAGCTCATCTCTGAGCTCATCTCGCTCAATTCTAATGCAGTCAAAATATTCTTTTTGTCTCTCTAGAGCCTGCTTACAGCAAAGTAGCACAAAGAAAATAGTATAGAAAAAGAATGTGTGATAGATAAGAGATTTCTTGTAAATACAGGAACAGGACTAAACAAAAAGAAGAAAAAGCCTTACATAAATAATCCTGTGCTTGCCACAAAAGTCATATTCAGCACAAGAATTCCTCAGTTATAATGGGTCTGTCAAATATGTATTTAGTTTTATTCATTATATTAAATATATACTTTAAATGTAATTCCAATGTAGTATTTCTTCCACACTCACTAAGCCTATCATTCTCACAATAAATCCCAATCCCAACGTTTTATAAAATATGAAATATATCACATAAATTATGGCCGAATTGAAATTTGGTCATTCATATGTAGTTCAGACCTACTAAGATTAATGCAACTAAAAACCATTAATTTTGGTAATTCTACTTTGCAATTAAAACTGTACCAAATCACATTATGTTTATTCAAATCCTAGAACTATACTGAGCAAGAAAATATAATCCTCTGTGATACATTAAGATTTTCAAATATAAACACTTGGATCTTATGGGTATAAAATTATATGTATGGTATTATGATTTTCAATTTAAATGAACCAATGTTGTCAACCAGAGTTTTTTGTGAAAGAACATTAAAAGAAAAAGGGAACCATATGGTTTCCAGTTTCTGTCCAGACAGAGCCCTAATTCTGATTTGTGTGCTAGATTTTATAGGATACCTGTTTCCCAGAAGCCAATCAGTTAGCAAATTGGTAAGTTTTTAAATAGTTTCCCCAGCGGTCCACCAATCAGTAGATTCCCAAGAACTATGGAATGAAGAGGTAATCCATACAGATGGCTCATATCCACCATTCCACCTATATTTCATTTTTAATCATAAACACTAAGCATCCAAATACAAAACTTAACTGCAACACTGAAAGTACTGTGAAATCATCAAATGTAGATGCAGCATATCCTCTTGAATGGTATTTATTATCTAGTATCTAGCATTAATTTGTTTTATCTAATTTACTTCTGTATTTGTAATTACTATATTCAGATCCCCTGCATTCCGAAACCATTAACAATCTTGTCAACATTTGCCAGTCTATTCCTAATCATTTTTCACCTCAGAATAATCTCATACCCCAATTTTTTTATCTTTCCAATTAACTGTCTCCTGGAGGTCAAACACCTCTTTGGATATAGATTCTATTTTCTGCTGCATGCGCTGGTTCTCCTGCAGTAAACACAGGGAGAAGAATAAAAGAAGAGGAAAAACAAGTAAAGGGAATTACAAAAAGATAAAAAGAAGTGAGTAAATAAGCCAAAGAAACATGAAAGACAGAGGTTTTATGAACAAAAATTTGAAGGGTAGAATTACAAACAGATTTAGGATTTACCCACAACTGTCTAGCATTACAGACAGTCCTTGATTTATAACTATTCATTCAGTAACCATTCAAAATAAAGATAGCACTGAAAAAAGAGATTTAGGACCCATACCCAAATTTATGGCTACTGTAGCAATTTGTGCTCCACTTGGCAATCCATCCACAATTATGACCAATCACAAGGATGCTGCAAAGACCTCGCCACCATCTCCCCTATCCTGCCTTGCTGGGTCCCGCAGACCTTGCATCTGCTTCCCACTCCACTGGGTTCTACACTGTCTTCCCCAATCCGCATCATAGCTTGATCACTTACCTTTTAGGATAAATTTCCTTTAGAAAGCAGCTACTCTGCCACATGGCCATTCTGCACAGTTGTGGCTGCATTCACTGTCCCAGAAATGGGCATCATTTTGGGAGTGGCCACAATTCCAATGATGCAGGAAGGGGAGGTCATGGGAAGGGAAGCCTAGCAGAGGCTACATCTGAACTGAAGGTTCTGCAGTGCAAACCTGGGCATGCACTAGGTCTCCTAGGGCTTCCTCCACCTACTTGGCACCTCAGGCTCTGCTAATAACTATAACAGGGAGAGCAGTGATTGGGATCATTAAGTGAGGTAGTCACATAGGTACCTCATATAATGACTTTCACAATTTCTGTACATAATTGGCAAGTTAAAGTTCCATTATGATTGTAAGTCGAGAACTACCACAAATATATGTATAAACATATAATTTTACCAATACATTAATATTCAAAATTTTAAAATATTGGTATAATGTCACTTTTACGTTATATACTAGTTCAGCGTGGCTGCTACAGGTTGTGCCATATGTTTTTAATACACACAACATAGCAACTTCCTCAACTTTATATTACCACATTATACATAGCCTGTCAGCTTTGGAAGCCATATTAACAGTAGAAGCTTCCATACTGCCACATTCCTGTGCCTGGGAAATTGGGAGGGGGGATTTCATGGAGGGTATGTAGTTAGACATAATAGCATCCTTCTTTTCGGTCAAGGTCATGGTCTTCCTGCACCTGGATGAGGAGTGGTTTAAGGAGTGTCTCGAATTGGGGGAGGATGGTGATTGGACCATATGATGAACTGATGGATGCAGTGTGTGAATTTGGCTTTTTGAATTACTGAGGAAAAACCTGTAACTGTCAGATTCAGGTTTTCCCAGATGTGCCAGTATGACAACTCTAATAAAGTGGAACTTTCAGAAAGCGAGTGATTTCAGATTGTGGGGTTCAAGTTACTGCTAAACTCTGGAGAGAGTTCTTTAAGTCCATTGGATAATCCCAGGGTCTTAGCTCAGCTTTCCATCCGACTATGAAGAGATCGGCAGAACGTGAGAATGCCATGGTGGAACAATAAATTAGATGCTATGTAAATTTACCAACAAAAAAACTGGGAGGACTTATTGCCTTTCGCAGAAGTGGCTTACAATAACACAGTACACAGTAGTACTGGACTAACTCCTTTCCAAATAACCACCAGAATGGAATTTATTCCCATGCCTGAATTACCTAGAATTACCAACTTCCATGTCCCTAACATAATGGATGGACTCACTAAAGAAGGGGTGGGAAAATACAAAGAAAGCCTTAGTGGAAGCGGCTGAGGAATATAAAGAAAAGGCAGATAAGTGCAGATCTCTGCAACCATCTGTTCGAGTGGGAGATAAAATATTTCTATCAACCAAATACCTTAGATTGAGATTGCCTAGTAGGAAGTTAGGACCTAAATTTCTTGGTCCTTTCCGAATAGTGAAAGTGATTAACCCAGAAACTGTCCAACTTAGCCTCCCTTGCATATTAGGCAAAATACATCGTCTTCCACAGCAGCCTATTAAAACCAGCTGTTGGTTCCAAATTAAGACAATGGCCAACTGCTCCCCCCAAGCCTGTGGTAGTAACAAGGTGAAACTCATTATGAAGTAAAGAAAATACTTGATTCTAGACTGCATAAAGGCCAGCTACAATACTTAATGCACTGGAAAGGGTACCCTTTGTCAGATGCTACTTGGGTAAAAAGTTGGAATATGAATGCTGATAGATTAGTTAAGCAATTCCATGATAAATTCCCTGAAAAACCAAAGGAACTTCGGGGGGGGGGGGGGGATTAAGTGGTTGGATGAACATTGTATTAACCCCTTGTTGTATTTTGTCTATTTTATTTTTCAGGATGTAGTTTTTTCTTCAGGAGGGGACATCTGTCAGCTTTGGAAACCATATTAACAGCAGAAGCTTCCACGCTGCCACATTCCTGTGCCTGGGAAATTGGGAGGGGGGATTTCATGGAGCGTATGTAGTTAGACATAATAGCATCCTTCTTTCGGTCAAGGTCATGGTCTTCCTGCACCTGGATGAGGAGTGGTTTAAGGGGTATCTCGAGTTGGGGCAGATGGTGATTGGACCATATGATGATCTGATGGATGCGGAGTGTGAATTTGGCTTTTTGAATTACTGAGGGAAAGCCCGGAACTGTCAAATTCAGGTTTTCCCAGATGTGTCAGTATGACAACTCTAATAAAGTGGAACTTTGAGAAAATGCCTGTCTCAGAGTTTTTGATTGGAGTTTGGTTTTGCTGGAACGCTGACATTAGATTACTACTTAATCCAACTAATCCAAGGTACAATAATTCTGCATATTCAGCTAAAGATCTATGAACAGTAAAGAAACAAGGAGCATATACAACTTATAAAACTGATAGTCTGAATTCAAGTATCTAAGCCAGATGTTTGTTACTGATAAAAACACTTCTTTCCCATCTGAATACAGTTTCTATTTTTTCACTTAGTAAATTATCAAATTGATCAATAGATCATTTTCTTGGGACTAGAAAACAAAAAGAAATAGAGAAATACATCATATAATGTTGATGACACCAATTTCTGAAAGATCTCTTAATAGTGGGTCTAAGGCAGGGGTCGCCAACCTTTTGGACCTCAGGGACCACCAAACTCATTATTTTAAATCCCAGGGATCGCGTGAATTTTGAATGACGTGGCTTGCTGACGTTGGTGGGAGGGAGAGGGGGAGAGGGAGAGAGAGAGAGAGAGAGAGAGAGAGAGAGAGAGAGAGAGATCTGATCTAACCTTGGAGGGCTGGTGATGTTTTCTCTCTCTCTCTCTCTCTCTCTCTCTCTCTCTCTCTCTCTCTCTCACACACACACACACACACACACACCCTCCAAGGCAGCCACATTCCTAGCCTGCTTTTGAGCTCTGTTCTCAGACTTCATGCAAGGAAAGAAGCAGAAGCAGCAGAAGTCTTTCTTTCTCTTCCCCAAACTCCGCCAGAAATGAGTCTTTGCCAGCGCAGCCTCTTGGAGCAGGATGCCTTGCAGGGTCCCAAAGACACATTTCTGGTGGAGTTTGGGGGAGAGAAAGACTTTTGCTGCTTTCCTTACGTGCAGCCAAAAGCAAAAGAAGCAGAAGAAGCAACCTGGTGGCCAGGCAAGTTTCCCTCTCTGCCCTTTCCCCTCACTACCTTGTGTTGTTCCTAATGCAAGCGACGCAAGCCTTGTGTTACCGTGGGCCATGTGGGCAGCACAGCCTTGTGTTCTTGCACAGCCTGGATTAATTGCTTTGGGGGAGTGCTCTGGGGGTGACATTTCTTGCGGACCACCAAAATTTTCTCATGGACCACCAGTGGGCCATGACCACTGGTTGATGACCACTGGTCTAAGGAGACCTGTGGGACACTACAGATCAAAGGGTCTGCTATTAATGATTAGTCTTCAGAATCAGATTTTGAATATTAGTTGACAAAAAGGACCAAAAAAGTGATCCTCTGATTCAAAATCTGAAAGGTAATCCTAAAGGACATCAAATTCTATTAAAAATACCAGGCAAATTAATATAACTAACATTCTTTGCCTTCATTCTTAACATTCTTCCATTCTCATCTGAGAGTAGATAGTGCTCTATTCCAATCAAAACATTCAGTGGCCAAAAGCTTAATGGAAAATGGAATCCTTATGCTCTAAATGCATCTATACACACACACACACACACACACACACACACACAAACCATTTTCACAATCACCAAAGTCAGATATTTTGGATTATCATTAGATTTTTATTACATTTTATTTTTATACTTTATTTATTTTAACTTGTGTATGTGTGTAGTCCTAGACTTACAAAAATTCATTTAGCAACCATGCAAAATTACAACAGCACCCAAAAAGTGACCATTTTTCATATTTATGATCGTTTCAGCATCCCTCTGGTCACGTGATCAAAATTTGTATGCTTGACCACTTAATTCATATTTAAGACGGTTGCAGTGTCCCAGGGTCATGTGATCACCATTAGCAACCTTGTGATAAGTAAAGTCAATAGGAAGTCTAATTCACTTCACATGCACTTCACTAACAAATGCAGTGATCACTTGACAAATGTGGCAAAAAAGGCCATAAAAGGAGGGGGGGGGGACTTTCTTAGCAACAGAAGTTTTGGGCTCAACTGTTACAAATGAAGGACCTGTATGTGTGTACTATGTCTCTGTATGTGTGTGTGTGTGTGTATAAGTACATAACAAAAGCATTCAGACTTCAGAATAGGACAACTTGCTGCAACCAAGTTGCCATGGCCTAATCGCCACAGCCAACTCACCATGGACAATTTGCCCTGACCAACTTGCTACAGGATAACTCGTAGGACAATTCAACTATTCAATTTAATCTCTCTCACACACACTCAAGATGGAGTGACTGGCTCAAAGTGATTCAGCCAGCTTTCATACCTAACAGAGGTGTCGAACGCAGTTAACTTGGTTTCCAGACAACCGCCTTAATCACTATACCAAACTAATAATAATTGTATAACTGTACTTTTGCACATTTATTCAATTAAGGAAAATTTTCATTAGTAAAGATCTTGCTATTGTCTGCTTTTTGAGGAATATAAAAACAAACAACTGGATAGGATAGTAGTTACAGTATCTCCTCCGACATGGAAGACCAGTAGGAGTCCTTGAGCTATAAACCCCTTGGGCTTACATCTCTACCTCAAATATGAGAATGACAAACAAATAGAGTTATGCCAGTTCGGATGAAACCTGGATAACGAGATCCACATCATATGTTGAGGAACCAGGACAATCTGATAATGTGAGATATCAGAAAAAACAATACATAGATGAGACAAAGAAACTAGTTTGGTGGAATGCAACTATAGTACTATACCAATAGACTTAATGAGAGAGGTTATGTGAAACATATGAGCGAGCTATGGCTGGACAGAAGACCTACATCCTCACTAACTGAGAAATGGTTAGTTACTCAATGCTTCAACAAAGTGAAGAGAAAGCTGTTCTCACAACTTAAGAAACACCAACTACACATTAGATCACAGACTCAAGAAGACAAGGAAGACCAATTGGATGTGTAGCCAACATCTGTTGGAATATCACTGCCAACTCTCTACATTACAGAGTACAGCATAAGATATGAGGCATAAGATAATGTATAAACTAGTTACAATCAATCTTTGAAACTGATTATCAAAGCTTATTGGAGATAAAGATACTAGAAGATGCCAATAGAGCCCTCATGGCAATATCTACTACCATCATAACCAATGAACTGTTGTAGGCTGCAGCCATTATAATCATGGACCATTCTAGACAAATGGCTGTCTAATCTCCTGGTATATGATCAAAAAGAGCAGCAGTATGTACCCCCTCACCCGCCAGAAAATGAGTTAGAGGCTAAGATCAAGACCACTCAAAATCTCCTTATAGGGCAGATAGGTAGCATAAAAATTTAATAAATAAATTAAAACATTCAAGAGAACACTCTAGTCAGTTGCTAAAATTATAGAAGGGCATGACTACTGAAAATATACAAAGCCTGACTCTATCTGAAGCTCTAGAATATATTGCAGTTGCCAGAAAAGCTAATGAAGTCCTAGATTGCACCAACAGAGGAATAGTTTCAAGATTCTATGAAGTGGTAATACTACTTTATCATGCACTGGTGAGATCACATGGAACACCATATCCAGTTTTGGTCACCACAATACAAAAATGATGTTGAGATTCTAGAAAAAGTGCAGAGAAAAGTAACAAAGATGATATGAAGTCTAGCACTAAACCATATAAAGAAAGGGAACTAGGTAAGTCTTTTCTAACAAAGAGAAGAACTAGGGGGATATGATAACAGTACTTGAGGATTTGTCACAGAAATGAGAGATGCTGACCTATTCTCCAAGCAAGTCAAGAAATAATAGGTGGAAGATGATTAAAAAAGAACGCTAACCTAGAACTAAAGAGAAATTTCCTGACAGTGGAGAACAATTTATGACAGGGATAGCTTACCTCAGGAAGTTGTAAGTACTCCATCACTGGAGATTTTCAAGAAGAGATTGGACAGCCATTTGTCCGGAATGGGCAGGAGACTGGATTAGAAGACCTGCAAGGTTCCTTCCAACTTTATTATTCTGTGTTTTGTAATACCATCGCAAAGTAGCTGCAGAACCTGGCAGTAGGCCACAGCTATCTCCCAGAACAGGAACCAGCTACCTTCACAGTAGCAGAAATCCAACAGTGAGTCAAGATCATGAAAATCTGGAGAGCACCTATCCAGGACATGATCCACTCTTATTGGCTAAAAAAAACCTAATAGCAGTGCACGAACACCTAGCAATATATATGAACCAGCTGTCAGCAGTAGGTTCCCACCCAGTGGCTAATTCAAGGAAGGACAGTGCTGATCAAGAAAGATCACCATAAGAGAACAGCACCATCCAACTATTGGCCAATAACTTGCCTCATTACTACATGAAAAGTCCTACCAGGCATATAGCTGCCAAGTCACAGAACCGTATGGACCAATACATGAGCAAAGCTCAGAAGGGAATTGAAAGTAACACAGAGGCTCAAAACACAAATTGCTCATAGACAGAGCAGTCATCTAAGACTTAAGGTTTACGCAAATCAATATGAGCATAGCTGGAGTGACTACAGGAAAGCCTATGACTATATGCCACATAATTGGATTTGTGAATCCCTGTACCTATACAAAGTCAACAGGATACTAAGGACATTCCTCAAAACTCAATGGGGCTATGGAAGACAATTTTGGAAATGAATTCAAGAAAGGTTACATAAGTGGCCATCAAGTCTGGCATATATCAAGATGATAGCAGTGTTTCCTATTCTGCATATACTTGAACTCCTCAGCCAGACAATCATATTGACTGGATATGGATATAAGTTTAAGAGTGGAACTACCATCAACCATCTTTTTTCTACATGAATGACATATAACCAAACTGAGTATGCTAAGATGTATGACATGTTGACTCAATGATCTTCCTGACACAGATCTACAATGACGATGTTGGAATATCATTTGGACTGGAAAAGTATGGCTGCATTAAAGTCAAGAGAGGGAAGGTAGTTGATTTGCTGATTCATGTAATGTGGATTTGAAGTGAGGACACTCAGATGTCATTTGAAGTGGAGATGTATGGCCGATTGGTAGTAAGGAGAGGGAAGTTAGTCAATGAGCCATATAGCAGACATACTAACCAGCTGTAAGTATCTTGGTATTCTACAATTACATGGAACCAGGAGGAGGAAGAGGAAGCAAGGAAGATACCAACACCCAAGTACTCCAAACAATGAGACTGGTCCTGAATCTCAATGGAAAGGACAAGAGCCACAATATACAGAGGTTTCCACCCCAAATCCAATATTCACAGACTGTACACCACGTAGAAAGCAGGTGGAGAGGGCATTCAGGAGTGCATTAGTGGGACCTAAAGATGCCACCTGATGTAGCAGCAGGCATGGCAAGAAGGTTAAGTAGAAGAAGGGCCATGGCAAGACAAGACCTGTCAATGTTCTATCTACAGATAGCTGAATTAGCAGACATTAGGAAATCCTACTGATGACTTGAAAGGGCTGGACTAAAAGAAAGCACTGAAGTAC